CATCGGCTACAGTGATATACAATAGAAACCCAAAGTACTCTGGACATAACTGAGACAAATGGATGGCATTTAGGGGAAAGAAATCTTTTCTTAAATTAAAAAAAAATTTTTTAATATGTATTTGCTACAGGCTCACATTACGCAGCTCGGACTTGTGGTGATCCTCCTGTTTTTAGCCTCCTCAGAGTTGGGATTATAGGCGTGTGCCAACAAGCTCAGTCTAGAAAGAAATCTAAAACTAAAAGAAATTCAAGAAACTATTTTTGTTGCTGAATATGGCTTAGATCAGGAAACAGTGTAGTTTTTCTGTAAAGAGTTGGATAGACTCTTTATGGTCCATGACATAACTACTCCATTCTGCCACTGATGTAGGACAGAAGAAAGACAGACAAGAAAAAAAGAAAAATTATAACTTAAAAAACTGTACTTTTAAGAAGACTGCAGGTGCCAGCCCCGCCCCTGGGGGCACACTGAGATGGCAACTGAGACTGGGTGTGGTGGTGAGTGTCTATAATCCCAGCTTTTGGGAGACTGTAAATAGGAGAATCACTACGAGTCTGATCTAGTAGTGAGACCCTGAACACGCTGTAGACCCTCAACACCCTGTAGACCCTTCCTTAGAAAAGAGGAAGAAAAAAAAGAAGGAAGAAGAAGAAGGAAGGAGGAGGAAGGAGGAGGAAGGAGGAAGAGGAAGAAGGAAGGAGGAGAAAGGAAGAAGAAGGAGGAAGAAGGAGGAGGAGGGAGGAAGAAGGAAGGAGGAGGGAGGAGGAAGAAGGAAGGAAGAAGAAGGAAGAAAGAAGGAAGAAAGAAGAAGGAAGAAGAAGGAAGAAGAAGGGAGAAGGAGGGAGGAGGAGGAAGAAGGAGGAAGAGGAGGAGGGAGAAAGAGGAGGAGGAGGAAAAGGTGGAGAAGGAGGAGGAGGAGGAGGAGGAGACAACTACAACTGCAGGACCGGCAAGATAGCTAAGCAGTCTAAAGCAAGCTTAGGCAGGTGCAGGGGACCTCAGTTTGATCCCTGTCACCACATGCCATACCAGCGCCACCCTCAGGGTAGGCTGAGCCAGCCAAAAAAAAGTGCAACTCCAGAACACAGTCAAAGTTGCCCAAGGTTATCCATATCATATTCTTTAGGTTTGTTTATGCTCTTTGTCCCTAGGCACTTAAAGATACTTGCAGTCTATAAATTAGCTTAAGTGATAAAGTTATAAAATGAAAGGCAGGAACCTGATGGAGGTTTTTTTGTTTGTTGGTTATTTATCCTTATTTATTTATTTTTTTTGTGGCTGGCGCAGCCCTCTCCGGGGGGCTAGTGCTAAGGATCGAACCACGGTCCCTGTGCTACCTAAGCAGGCGCTTTAGTCCACTGAGCTATTTCACTGGCTCTTATTTATCTTTTTGAGACTGGGTCTCACTGTATAGTTCATGATGGCCTTGACCTTGCTATGTAACCCAGGCTGGCCGTGACTTGTGGCAACTGTCTTGCCTCAGCCTCCTAGGTACTGTGATTACCGCAATCAGATTTTTTGTGTAACTTTTCTGTCACCAAATATAATGGGGTTTTTTTTCACCAATGATCTAAAAATATAAAGATCATTCTCAGCCATGATTTTAGTACAACCTATAATCTCAACATTCTGATAGGCTGAAGCAGGAGAATCACAAATTTGACCCCAGCCTGGGTAATACAACAAAATTCTGCCTCAAAATGAAAAATAAAGGACTGGGGCTAGAAGTCAGTGAGAAAGCCCATTTTGCACAAGTCCTCCAACAACCAAGGCATCAAGCCACATCTAGTGGTCCATTTTAGTCAAGACAGTGTATTAGAACAGGGCAAATGCTGAAGAAAATATGATGATCTACCTGTTTTCTAAGACAGAAATTGAAGCGACCTACAAAAGTATAAACCATGCCTCTCTGTTAAATGTAGTTGCGTTTACATATCAAATCTTTTTGACACGTAATGGCTTAGTATTTTTAATTGATCAATATTTTTAAAAAATTCCTCAGTGGTGCATACTTTATAATATCAGATTTACTTCATAGTGCTCAGGAGAATGGCATAGGAGGACTGCCATGAGTTCTAGAACAGTCGAGGCCAATAAACAGTGATTTCAAGGCCAGTCTGAATTATACACTACAGAGGGAGACCCTGTCTCACCTCTCTGCCAAAAATCCTCAGCTTTGATTTCTAATATGACAAATACCAACAGATAAATGCCACATGAACAAAAGCTCACTGGGGACACTCAATAAGTTTTAAGAATGTAAAAAGAGTCTGAGCGGGGTGGCACAGCTTGTAATTCCAGCATTTCAGGAGACTGAGGCAGGGGGATCAAGAGTTTAAGTCCTACCTGAGCAGCTTAACTATATTTCCTCTCAACAAAAGGATAGAGACATAGCTCAGTGGTTCAACGCTCAGCACAGCTGAGAAGCGCATAAGGGAGCAAGAGACCAAAAAGCCTGGGCACAAGCTGCCAAGCTGCGGCAGGCAACCTCACAAGCTGAGTGGCTGAGGCTGCTCACCAGGCCTACCATCTTCACCTCTCCCACCAGAGAGCTTCCTGCCATTTCTTCAATCACATCCTGATTTGATAACATTTCACCCCATGTTCTTATGCTTTCCAATAATAAGGTTGGTGAGAATGTCATGTATTGTCATGGAAGAACTATTAGAAATACTTTACTTTGTCAAAATAGGCAACTGGAAGCAAGTATCTCCCCTGGGCTTCCATTTTTTTAACCTTTAAAAACAAAATTATTGCAACTCTTTCTCTCCAGAACATACCTCAAAACAGATTTATTACTTTCCTCATTAGCTCACCATGGGGTACATATGACTTGCATCCACGAACACTGTGGGAGTCCAATCCTAAGTGGGACCCTTGCAGCAGAGTTAAGGCTGAGAAATCAACTGTACTGGAACCTGTGCAAGTTAGTTGACAGCACTTACAATAACGCACAGAGAATTCCATGTTGCATATAAGGCATGTACCTCTTATAAGAGCATTTTATGAGAATACTAACATTTTACATCTTCTGTCATCTAAAATTTAAGAATTTTCCTTTTCCTTTTTTTAAATTTAAGATTTTTTAAAAGAATATTTTAGGGGAAATTAAAGGGAAAGTTCTTTTTATTCCAGTATTACAAAATGTGGGGAAGCTTTCCATAAGGAAGCATTTCTTTCAATATAAATTTACTTTTGTGCTTAGATTTAACTATTCAAATGGAATAAGAAACTTTTTTCTCTCTTTCCTTTATATTTTCTCTCTCCTCCACCTACTCCCTCCCTTTTACATTTTAGAGAAACAAGAGCCTTGATTCCAACATTTATTATTTTGTTGAATTGTGGTTTTTAATTTGAAAACATTTCCTCAGGAAAATGTTTCCTAAAAGTCTATTATTTCTCTTAAAGAATAATAATTGGGAACATGATAAAGGAAGAAAAAATTTATGTTTTTATATTGCTGGATATATATTCTTCAATCTATATTAAAACTACCTTAAAAAAACAAAAGTTATGGTTGGATGCTACGTCTGTAACAATGTGAGTACTGACTCCAAGAATTAAATAAATTTGGCTATTCTGATTAACTTTAAAACTGAAATTCACTAGTAAAGATCAGAAAGCTACTAGCAAATTATTATTTGTTCTGGGAATTATTAGCCATTTGGGGGCATGATGTTGATTATATTAAAAACACTTTGATAGCCATGATATTCAACAAAGAACAAAAACAGAACTTAAATACAGACAAATGCTTACTCTTGAAATCCACAGTAAGCAAAAGTCTCACAATGATTGCAAAACATTGTAAATTGTGAAACAAGTTATTTGTAAAACAGACAAAAGCAAAGCAGCTTCCTTAGTCATTTTTTGAGATCTCAGCATCAATTTAAAGAAAATGCTTATATTTAAAAGGAAGCCTATTTCAAAATATGAATCTAGAAGTACATATTAAGGGCCTGAAATGAACCGTACCTCATATTACACAACATTCTTACTCCGTAAGCATGTAAATGAAGGTGACAGAATAAGTTTAAAAAGGTATTTACTACATTTATTTACGTATTTATTTAATTGGTACAGGGTCTCACTACACAGCTGGGACTCACAGTGATCTTCTGTCTCTCCCTCCCCAGCGCTGGCATTGCAGGTGTGTACCACCATACACTGCATGCGGTGCCGGGGATCGACCCCAGGCCCTTGCCCTTGCCAGGCAGGCACGTGGACCGCTGAGCTCTCTCCCCAGCCCTGTTTCACTAGTCTCTAAGGAGTAAAAGAATTTCAATCATGAAAGAAAAACTAGAACTAAAGTTTTGCTACTATAAAAATCAACTTACATGACACTGCCTACTGTGCAGAAAAGATACACTCCTTCTGGCAAATTTTGTCTACAAACACTTTTTTGCATAATTTTCTTCACTCTAAATTAAGATTATGTTCATTTAAATATATAAATGTAATAGTTTATTAAGTAGCAGACAAGTTTAATAATTATGTGAAACTTACACTACCACAAAGATAAACCACCACTGGGATTTTGGTTTCTACTTGAGAAAACAAACAAATTAAAAAAAAAAAAAAATCCAGCTGAGAAAACCACTAATACCACTCCAAAGCACTAAAACTGGAATCAAAGTAATAGTTACTTTAAAAGGATGGTACAGCCAGGTTTTTAAAAATCTAAAAAAGCCATTGTTGGTCTAATAGAATAGCTTTCTATTGATTTCCCAAGTTCCCTCCCCAATAATGGGATGTTATGTGAGTCTTTCCTTAGTGTAGAGAATTTTCTTAGCACTTTGTGGGAACTGCTGACTTTTAAAAATGAAAGATGGTGGGAACCAAAAGTTAGGCAAAATACAGAATTGCACAAGAATAAAAAGCAACTTAAGAAGATGATCAAGCCAAGCAGATAAGCAAATTCTATAGCATCAGTTTCTCATACTAAGGCAATTCTGTCATTTTAAAAAGTCAGACCAAAGCAAAGCATGCTTACTTACATTGTTTCTGTAGTTCTTTCAGCTGTTGTTTAAATTGTACAAATTTTTCATTATTCTGAAAGTCTGCATCAGAATTTTTACTCTGCAAAGCCAAAAATTTCTCCTCCACTAATAATTTCAAATCAGGTATTGTTTCTGGCCGTTCTTCTTTTACCTAAGGAAGACAACAAAATATCAGTTAAATGATTATAATACGATTTAGATTATTTTTAGCTCATATAATTCAAATAGATAATGAAAAAGCAGAAAGAATCCTCCACACAGAAGATAAGAAGGAATCATGTATTCTATGTACTCATCCTACTTTTCCTTTCTTAAACTTTACAGCCTATCAACACTCCTGCTAACCTACAGTCTCCTGATGACTACCAGGGAAAACTGCAGAAAAACAACTTTGCCAGAACCTGTGCATCACCATTTCCTCCTTAGCCAGGGTCTGCTCGGCCCCTGCTCACTTGTCACAGTGACTATTTCATTTTCCATTATCAGTGCTTTTGTTCTGATTCTTAAAGTCTCCACAGGGATCAGTGACTTATACTATACCACAGAAGGAAGGTTTTGACATGTTTTTCCAGCTTGAACCACCTGTGATACATATGAATCTAAGCACTTTTACAGTTTTTTTTTTAACTAATGAAATTAATAAGTTGCCCAATAGGACAGGCATGCATGTAGCACTGGTGGTAAAAGCTGGGCAGTGTGATACATGGATTACAGCTGCACTATGAACATGTCAACCTGAACCTGAGTAATTTCCTGGCATAACAAGGAGTAAACAAGCTCAAAGCCAAACTCTCAATATATGTGTTCTTCCCCCCAATACGACAAAATAATTCCAATATCGTAAAATCTTGAGACATGCAGAAAAATGAAATTATGCTTCCTAGATGTCACAATTAATATTTTGCAGTACACTATTTTTCTGTTCTCACCTCTCCTCCCATTTACCTATCCCTGTTTCCTCACATGCCCTTGTCCCTAGGTTTGGTCTTCTTTACATCTGCATCTCATCTCTAACATTCCCTCTCTAATGCTCTTTCCCCAAAACATTTATACTGGCTCTTCACTCCCATATTTAAAATCTCAACTCCTGTATTTCCTCTTCCATTATTTTCTGTTTATATTTTAGTTCCTGGGAAAAATAAAGGAGCTGCTGTTTCTACTTCCTCATCCACAAGCTTAACCATGACAACCAAGCTGCTGCCTCATCACTGCACTGCAGCGGCACTGCACAGGCCTTCCTTGTTGCCCTCTTCATCTCTCGCGCTCCCCTCCCCTCTCCTCCCCTCTTCTCCTTTTCGTTCCTTTTTCTTCTTCCTTCCTTCCCTCCTTCCCTCCTTCTCTTTCTTTCTTTTGTTCTCTCTCTCTCTCTCTCTCTCTCTCTCTCTCTCTCTCTCCCCCCCCTCTCTCCCTCTCTCCCTCTGTATCTCTGCCCCGCCCCACGTGGTGCTGGGAGCTGAATCCAGGGTACAACCCAGGTGTACAGCCTTCCACCATACAGAGCTGTACCTCAACCACACAATCAGCCCCTACAGGCCTTCTCCAATGCTCCTGTCACAAATCTGGCCATTGTGCCCTGATTTGCCTTAAAGGAATTTCTACAGCAGTCCAAGTTATATTTAACTATTCTTACTTTTATGTCTTTTCCCCCAATAAGATGTAAAGTCTGAAAGATGTCAAACTTAACACTATATTTCCAGCATCACAGGGAATGCATAATATATTTAAATAAATTACTCTTATAAGTGCCAAATATACTTAACTCATTAAAAGCCATAATTTATTAATTGTCATTATTAGTTGTAGAGTATGTCATTTCAATGCTGGAAAACAACTTAGAGATCATCTAACCTTAATCTCCTCCTTCCTTAGTTTCAGAAATAAAGAGAATGATTCAGAAAAAAATTAAATGACTTCTAACAACCTATTAGAGACTGTGTTAAATCTGGTAGTTTTATTAGTGTTGCTAGTAAAATAAGACATAAATTTTGGATTTGTTTCTTATCAGTAGGATATATTTCTAATCTTTCTGAATCTATTAATATATATGAGGTCAAAGGATTATTTACTAATCTCTGAATCTATCAATATATATGAGGCCAAAGGATTATTTACCACTTATCTGTTTTAATTACCTTTTGTCATGGGGAAAATTATAATTTTCTTTTGCTTAACTGCTTTGCATTCTGATTAGCAAAACAAAAATTAGGCAGGATACTATGATACTAAAGATGTATATTTACAGTACAGAATATAAGAACTATCTCCTTGTGTGACTAATGCTCAACCATTGCTGGTTTCACTATCAAAGATAGTTGTAAAAAACCCGGACAGCTTTTATAAGTCTTACACATAATTAAAAATTTTATACAAGTCCTGTATGGCTGAAGAACCAATAAAGCTCAACTTGGAAAAGAGAAGGTCAAAAAACAACTTAATAATGCTTATGAATGAGTTCTTAAACATGGCAACTGCTCCTTTACCCCTACACAACAGAATAAGAGACAAGTTCAAAATTGTAGCCTGAAGACTAAAGAAGAAATCTGGAAATTAATTGCTGTTTCTTAAAAAGGGATTGCAGGCTCTCTTTGGATTCTAAAATGGACTCACATCTACTTAACAATATAGGAAGGCAATCAGATGAACCTTCCCAAGGTCTCTGACCAGCTTGAGATTGTTATATAATCTAAGACGATTAAAAAGATCTCAGGGGCTGTGGAGATGGCTCAGTGGAATAAGCACTTCCCTGGCAAGTGCAAGTTGAGTTCAATCCCCGGTTCTGAAAAAAAAAAAAAAAAAATCTCAACTGGCAGAGCGTGGTGGTGCACTACTTAATCACAGCACTGGAGAGGCTGTGGCAGGACTGTTGTGAATTCGAGACCAGCCTAGGCTACAAAGTAAGCTCAAGGCCAGCCTGAACTGCATAGTAAGATCCTGTCTCAAAAACACAAAAAAGGATCTGAACTTGTAAAATTCAAATGTTCTTTTTCAACAAAGTCTCTAATACACTCAATAAATTTAACCCCCCTAGTTCAATAGCAACCACTATACAAGAGTTTGGTAGAGGGTAGGGGTTAAGGATGGAAGAGATAAGGGGTTTAAGGGTGACAACACAGCAATGTGAAATAGGTCCAGGATAATGTGAACAAACCAAATTTAGTGATTCAGTACACTTTTCTTTCTACAGCCAAAACCTCCAGAAAGTTCTATAAAACAGTATATAAATTTACTGCAGTAAATATCTTCTCTGCAAGTTTGAAGCTGCAGTTGGCAGTTTTCCATGGTCGCGGGAACTTACTGTACTCTAGCTATCAAAATGACAGCATGAAAAGTATTCAACTCATTATCTGTTTAAATCAATGCAATAAATGGGGATGAATTATTTTAAAAGAAATGGATTGGGGAATTACTCTGAGTAGCTCATCATGTATGTTTTCTAGTATGAAAAGATAAGGATGGTTTCGTTTTCTCAGAATAAATTTCAAACACATCAAAGAAATATAAAATGGAGAAGATCCATCAGATTATTAAATCCACCCTTTTCCCAGGATAAAGTACCTAGATACGGGAGTTAAAAAGCCATAGTGAATTCAAACATGCTACCTGTGTCGTTTGCAAAATCTGCATAAATTAGATGGCTTAAACAACAGAAATATACTTTCTTATTGTTCTGCAGTCAAGAAGCCCCAGACCAGGGTGCCAGCAAGATCAGTTAAGAGCTTCTCCTTGGCTTCCCCCATTCTCACATGCTTTTCCCACTGTATGTGTCTGTGTCCTAATCTCAATGATACTAGTTATATTGGATTAATCTCCACTTAATGCCCTCTTTTTAATTTAATAATCTCTCTCTCTCTCTCTCTCTCTCTCTCTCTCTCTCTCTCTCTCTCTCTCTCTTTCTCTTTCTGTCATAGTGAATCTCCTGTTTACAGCCTCCCAAGAGCTGGGATTACAGGCACACGCCACCACACCCGGGCTCAATTGCAATCTCAGTGCACCTCAGGGGCAAGGCTGGCACAGCAGGCCGGGGGATTGAACCCCTAGCCCCTGTGCATGCTTGTAGGTGCTTTAATCCGGTGAGCTATTTGGCCAGCCCTTAATAATCTCTTTAAAGACTCTCATATACAGTCACATGCTAAGATACGGGCTGTTAGAACATGGAGAAACAAAATTCAGCCCATATACTGGGGTAGGAGAAATCAGAATTTTAAAAACAGCTACAGTTATTACCTTTATATCATTATAACTTAAAATGAAAGACACTATTAAGAAATAAACAGTGGACACAATCACTACATTACATTAAAATGTAATCCTGCCCTTGAGCGGGAAATAGCTAGCATTTTCTTCACTAATTCATTCATTCAGTATTCACCAAGTGACTTCTTAGGCTAAGAAATATAGTGACAGGGACAGAGAAGCAGAACATCGGCGAATGCCTTGAGGGGCCAACCTACAGAATTGAAACTGACCTCACAGAGTGGGAAAGGGATCAAGCAGTGATACCATGAAATCTGGAAAACATAAAACACACAAATACACACACACACACACACCCCAGTTGCCTGAAGAGCACATTAGAAACTAGAGGAAAGGACATCACTGCTATAATTAGCTAGTCAAAGTGGCTGGCAACTTGATCAGGCTGTGATGATTTTTGTGCACTTATTTGATGTTCTTTTCCGCAACACTTACTTACCAAGTCTTCTTGTGTGGGTGTGGGTGTGTGTGAGTGTGTGTGTGAGTGTGTGTGTGTGTGTGTGTGTGTGAGAGAGAGAGAGAGAGAGAGAGAGAGAGAGAGAGAGAGAGAGAAACACAGGGTTTGATAATGCTTTCAAACAATGTGGGTAACCAGTTAAATGCTACGTTCTTGAGGAAAGCAGCAGGTATTGCTGAAGCCCTGCAATATCTAAGCAAAAATATCCAGTATGCAGGAAGAAAGATTTAAAATGAAATAAAAGAAGCAAAAGAATACAAAAGTAAAAAAGAAAATCAGGAGCAAGAAAATTCTGTTAAGAGAGGCACTTGTCTTTTGAGAGAAATGATGCAAGAAAGTTCAAATGAGAAAAGGACTAAAGCAGCACTGGATCTAATTGTTAGGCCCTCAGCACACTGCACTGCAACTACTGGTCTGTCTCAACCCACTTGGCTATGTGG